AGGAAATTATAGACCCATCGACCGACTTTTCCTGTTATTCCTTTAGCACGCATTTTGCGCGCTATTACGCCATGGTCACACTTGTCGAAGGTTTTTGCAAAGTCTGTATATTTTACATCTGCTTTCCCTTTTGTCTTCTAGTGCATTTAGGACCTTGTCGTAGTGATCCAATAGTTGAGACAGACAGGAGCGACCTGTTCTAAACCCATTTTGCCCTGGGTTGTGTAACTGATGGGTTTCTAGATGGGTTGTGATCTTGCTTCTTAGGACCCTTTCAAAGATTTTTATGATATTGGATGTTAGTGCTATCGGTCTGTAGTTCTTTGCTGTTGCTTTACTGCCCCCTTTGTGGAGTGGGGCTATGTCTGTTGTTTTTAGTAACTGTGGGACGACCCCCGTGTCCATGCTCCCTCTCCATAGGATGGAAAAGGCTCGTGATAGGGGCTTCTTGCAGTTCTTGATGAACACGGAGTTCCATGAGTCTGGCCCTGGGACAGAGTGCATGGGCATGTCATTTATCGTGGTGTTTAGTAATTCTGAACAGTGATGCGTACTGTGAGATTTTGGTGATAATTGTTATAATTAAGTATAGACGGTGACCACATACGAAAGACCATTGGCGGACTACCTGCCCAGTGGGAGATGTAAGTCCAGAAGTGTGACAGGCGGACTTCCTGCCCAGTGGGAGAGTGTAAGTCCAGAAGTGTGCCAGGCGGACTTCCTGCCCAGTGGGAGAGTTAGTCCAGAAGTGTGCCAGGCGGACTACCTGCCCAGTGGGAGAGTTAGTCCAGAAGTGTACTAGGCGAGCTACCTGTCCAGTGGGAGAGTGTGAGTCCAGAAGTGTGCGAGGCGAACTACCTGTCCAGTGGGAGGGTGTGAGTCCAGAAGTGTGCGAGGCGAACTACCTGTCCTGTGGGAGAGTGTGAGTCCAGAAGTGTGCGAGGCGAACTACCTGTCCAGAGGGAGAGTGTGAGTCCAGAAGTGTGCGAGGCGAACTACCTGTCCAGTGGGAGAGTGTGAGTCCAGAAGTGTGCGAGGCGAACTACCTGTCCAGAGGGAGAGTGTGAGTCCAGAAGTGTGCGAGGCGAACTACCTGTCCAGTGGGAGGGTGTGAGTCCAGAAGTGTGCGAGGCGAACTACCTGTCCTGTGGGAGAGTGTGAGTCCAGAAGTGTGCGAGGCGAACTACCTGTCCAGAGGGAGAGTGTGAGTCCAGAAGTGTGCGAGGCGAACTACCTGTCCAGTGGGAGGGTGTGAGTCCAGAAGTGTGCGAGGCGAACTACCTGTCCTGTGGGAGAGTGTGAGTCCAGAAGTGTGCGAGGCGAACTACCTGTCCAGAGGGAGAGTGTGAGTCCAGAAGTTGTGCGAGGCGAACTACCTGTCCAGTGGGAGAGTGTGAGTCCAGAAGTGTGCGAGGCGAACTACCTGTCCAGAGGGAGAGTGTGAGTCCAGAAGTGTGCGAGGCGAACTACCTGTCCAGTGGTAGAGTGTGAGTCCAGAAGTGTGCGAGGCGAACTACCTGTCCAGTGGGAGAGTGTGAGTCCAGAAGTGTGCGAGGCGAACTACCTGTCCAGTGGGAGAGTGTGAGTCCAGAAGTGTGCGAGGCGAACTACCTGTCCAGTGGGAGAGTGTGAGTCCAGAAGTGTGCGAGGCGAACTACCTGTCCAGTGGGAGAGTGTGAGTCCAGAAGTGTGCGAGGCGAACTACCTGTCCAGTGGGAGAGTGTGAGTCCAGAAGTGTGTCGGGTGATGATACAATCTCGCCCCATCCACCCGAGTGTAGTAAAATTTATCCCTGTCACGGGGGTTGCTTATATGACCCCAGGGGTCACCGCGACTGTTGGCACTTCCTCCGTTTGGATGAGAAAGACGGGTTGTGTGTGGGATGCTCCAACCTCACAAGTTATATATAGTCATTCAGAAGTTTACACAATATAGAATTTGAAGAAAAGGCTTGACTTTTCATAAAGACAAGGCTGGACTTTTCTTAAACACAAGGCTGGGCTTTTCATAAAGACGAGGCTGGACTTTTCATAAGGAAAAGGCTGGACTTTTCATAAAGAAAAGGCTGGACTTTTCATAAAGACAAGGCTGGACTTTATAACAGGTTTGATCCCAATATCATCACATAATGTTGGCCTTGATCTTACACACAGACAAAATCTAGCTTTATTGTACTCTCTAAAGGGAGTTTAAAACTGAGAAGCAGTAGAGATAACATATAAGTAAAACCATTTATAATGACTAGTTTATTTTACAAATGGGACACTTTGTGTCATGGAGGATCAAAAATAATTATTTAGATTATATATGAATTCTTTTCGGGACAACAATGGGTAAAAGCTTAGAAATTAAAGCACAGATTCCTTTTATTGCCATTTCATACTGAAGTCTTATAATTAGCGAAGATGTATTTACGGACACTTTAAAAAGTGACATGGCAGAAGCTCTTAAAATCTATAACACAAATTATAGGTGAAAAAATTTAAGGAAACATCCATCTGTAACATTCTTGTTTAGACAGTTAAGGACAAATAACAGAACAAAACACTCTCTGCTCTCTATATATTGTTTCTGGTCAAAATACTGATTTGAATGAAACTGAATCTAAATATGATAGCCTCTGTATTCAGCTTCTGTTCATTTTATGAGCACACAGTAATCACACAGTTGCTTACACAAACAATTCAGTTACATAATTTGTTGTGAAAATATGGAGGCAACTAAATCGAATCAGGGGATACATAGGGATAAGCAGAGGGAGAATGAAAGGGGGAGATCAGTCTTTGTTTATGAGCTCCAGGAAGTTGAAAGGGAAACTTATGAAGCAAGAAGACAAGGGGAGAAAAAAACAATTGAAAGCATCATGGAAGCAATAGGAGAAGATGGTAAGACCCAGCTGGCATCTCTTCTGAGAATAGGGGAGGTTACAAGAGGAAGAATGCGGCCAGTCAAAGTGATTTTCAAGGCAGAATCGGTGTACTGGAGGGTGTATCTTGACCACGACAGAACACAAGAAGAAAGACAGAAACTGAAAGAGAGGGTGCAAAGGCTATAGGAGGAAAGAGAGGTGAAGATGGAGATGGTCAGGGGAACCCAGACTCAGAAGGAAGTTCAAACACAAGCTTCCTTACAACCACCTACAGAAGCCTGTCAACCAGGACAACCCAAATGCAACCAAGCATTTTAACCCATAACACACATGCCATACCCAATGCCCCCACCCACCTCATTGCAAACTCTACCTTCACAGTAACCACCCATAGTTCCTCATCAGGTCTCCCTCTTCCCCAACCCCAATGTACCCTCAGACCATAGTTTTAGAAAAAAAATTGAAGGTTTGGTATACAAATGCAGATGGAATAACAAATAAGACATTGAAGAGGAATGTCTTTTCTATCGACCTTTACACACCACCACTCTTGGAGAAGATAATTTTCCAAGCTGTGGACTCATTCTTCAGTTTAGAATGGCTTAAGTTTAATCGGTGTCTTAGTGTCTGTAGTGATGGTGCAGCAGCACTGTTAGGAACACATCACGGTGTTGGTGCACTAGCACTGTTAGGAACACATCACGGCGTTGGTGCACCAGCACTGTTAGGAACACATCACGATGTTGGTGCACTAGCACTGTTAGGAACACATCACGATGTTGGTGCACCAGCACTGTTAGGAACACATCACGATGTTGGTGCACCAGCACTGTTAGGAACACATCACGGTGTTGGTGCACTAGCACTGTTAGGAACACATCACGATGTTGGTGCACCAGCACTGTTAGGAACACATCACGATGTTGGTGCACCAGCACTGTTAGGAACACATCACGGTGTTGGTGCACGAGCACTGTCAGGAACACATCACGGCGTTGGTGCACCACACTGTTGGAACAATAACGGTGTGGTGCACGAGCCTGTCAGGAACACATCCGATGTTGGTGCCCTCACTGTTAGAAACACATCGCGGTGTTGGTGCACCAGCACTGTTAGGAACATCACGTGTGGTGCACCAGCATGTTAGGAACACATCACGATTTGGTGCTACCAGCATGTTAGGAACACATCACGGTGTTGGTGCACCAGCATGTTAGGAACACATACGATGTTGGTGCATCAGCACTGTCTGGAATACTATCACGAAAGTTGGTGCACCACACTGTTAGAACAATCACGGTGTTGGTGCACCAGCACTGTTAGGAACACATCACGATGTTGGTGCACCAGCACTGTCAGGAATACATCACGATGTTGGTGCACCAGCACTGTTAGGAACACATCACGATGTTGGTGCACCAGCACTGTTAGGAACACATCACGGTGTTGGTGCACCAGCACTGTCAGGAACACATCATGGTGTTGGAGCACCAGCACTGTTAGGAACACATCATAGTGTTGGAGCACCAGCACTGTTAGGAACACATCATAGTGTTGGAGCACCAGCACTGTCGGGAGCACATCACGGTTTCACTGTTGAAATGAAAGAGAAAAATCCGTGAGTGCTGATTGTTCACTGTCTCCTCCACTTTACAAATTCTGCTTTTCTGAGGAAGTCACTCGAGTTACATAATGTGAGGTACATCATTCAGGTCATTAATTTTATTGCTACTGAAGCAAAGATCCAGAAGAAAAATTCTTGAGGCACATGTGTCTTAGTGAATTTAATTACATCAAGAGCCTGTCTTCTTATCCACGGACATTATAGTCCTGTTGTAAGAACAGTCAAATGGGTGACTGTTGATGGAGCTTTCAACAGTTGGAAAATGACTATTTTCTATCATCCACGTGCACTGGGTGCACGATTCCGTTCACGGGGTGATTTTTTTTGTATCACATTTAATTGTAATCTAACTTAACCTAACGTAACTCGACTTAGAACTTACTATATAGATTAGCATAGTCACACAATGATAGCTATCAAAGTTCTATAGATAAATGCAAAATAATATAAACAAAAATCTCATTAACTTTTACCAGAAATAAAGAATAACTCCTGTAACCTTAAAAATTTATTTTCAGTAAATTATTTCACACCTTCACTCGAAAATTGGTTAACATCTGACTAAGAAAAGTCCACTACAGAACATAAACTTGGGATCACTACCAAAGTTGTTCGTGTTCTTTACATCAAATCTGAGTCGCTCAGATATTTTGATCATTGTTGGGGTCAGTAACTCCTGAGAGAAAGCTCTCTTCTTGCTCGCTGGTGGACTCTTCAGCCTCGTATGTGTCTTTTGGTATATTAGAGTAATTCCACTTCTGAGTAGATGCCGATGCGAAGATGAGGAAGAATATTTCAGAGAGTGCATAGACAGGCACACACATCCAGAACACCTTCTGCCACTGTCCCAGGGTTTGCTGCAAAAATATATGTACATACATTTCAAAAACAGTAAACCTTAAATAAATATAATTAAATAAATAATGTCATGCCGTTTAAACCGAATCACTATGTTAGGTCTACTTGGAAAGGCTGCACTTTGCCGAATACGCCGAATAAAATGTTTTGCCATTATCAGTGGAATCATTGAGTATAAGAAAAAAATTAATGATTTAATAATATTAAATATTTAAATTACATATGATAATTTGGAGAATTAGTTCAACAATTCTGGCCCCGGGCCGGTGCAAGCTCCGTTCAACACGTGGACGGGTTCGATTCCCGCGATTGAAAATATATCGACACGTTTCCTAACTGTGCCGTTCACTAGCAGCAAATTAGGTACTGGCGTTAGTCAGGTGGATCGCATCCTGGGACAAGTTAAGGACCCAATGGAAATAAGTTAACATCTCAGACGCATGATTTCTTGGTAATCCTGGTAAATAACCTCGGGTTAAAAATCCGAACGAAAATCTTATTACATCATTATTACTTTATGGGAGGTTAGGTGTGGAGAAGTTGTCTCCAGGAGGGGGTATTAGCCCCTCAGCCCTTTCAGCCCTTTCAGCCCCTTTCAACCCCCTGAGGGGCTCAACCATCCAGAGAGGGTTGATAGTCTCTCTTGCTTCATGATCAACAAGTTAATTTGTGACAAATGCTGTATCAGCGTGTGTCAAAGTCACGCACTATTTTCCTTGCAAGAGACCAATGTTGCAACCAGTCTGGGTTAATGAGAGTAATTATTTTCTTTTCCATAGCAGGAAAGGTACAGGAAACCCCTGCCTTACTTTATTCACACGTGGGACAATAATGAACTTTCGGTGATCGAAACATATCAGGAAATCAAGCTGTTGCAGTTTGGCAAGGAAGGGGATATGCTGATTTCAGCAGAACTTTTGTGTAGCTAGAGACGGCTAGGGGAGCCGCGGCTGGAGAAGGCAGATTGCTTTATGTACTGGTGTAGCAAGGAACTCGTTCTTCACGATATAAGTGCGGACAAAGACACGTGATGCGCGTGTTACTGTACCTCAGACAATCTCCATATTCACAGTAGAAAGATTACAGAGAAGTTTGCTCAGCTTCCTGTAGTAACATTACTGTGAAAAAGGTAAATCTTGAAGAAGAGTGTAAGCATAACCCCACGAGTGTTGCAACATTCCCGACGGAGTGGAAGACAGTGCGACATTCTTCAAAGGACACTTCTGCTTTTATCAAGTCATCCATATCTGTTGTAAATGCTCACGCTACACGAGCAAGGTAGGTTTCAGTCTCACTTGTCAGTTCGGGAAGCTGCAGTTTCTGATGACGCAAGGCGACTGCAACTGTCCTATAGACGGAAGTAATTGGCGGGCCATCGAGCCCAAAACCCGTAAGCGGCTTCAACACTCATTTTCCGAGATATGCTGAAATAACACCCCTTTGAGGTAACTGGACTTACCATTTATTTCTTTCACACAGCCCAAGGGAGTAGGTTCAGCTCCGCAAGACAATGATTTCGGGGATGGCAGCTAAGAGGAAGACGTGAACATTCAAGCTAATTACCTCTACAGTCCTTATCTTAATTGGTTTAGTTTGTCCCATTTCCCTAAAATTAGGTGAGGCTTAAAGTTATTTTTTGGTCCAAGAATAATTTTTTTTATATCATTGTCTAAGAAAAAAAAAAACATTACCTAACCTTCTGTAATAAAATTTTTTGGGAAAGTTTATTTTTTAAAGAAGTTAGGCCTACTTAGCGAGTTCTGAAGTAGATCAGAAGACACAATCAGGAGTAGATCAGAAGACACAATCAGGAGTAGATCAGAAGACACAATCAGGAGTAGATCAGAAGACACAATCAGGAGTAGATCAGAAGACACATTCTGAAGTAGATCAGAAGACACATTCTGAAGTACATCAGAAGACACATTCTGAAGTAGATCTGAAGACACATTCTGAAGTAGATCAGAAGACACATTCTGAAGTAGATCAAAAGACACATTCTGAAGTAGATCAGAAGACACATTCTGAAGTAGATCAGAAGACACATTCTGAAGTAGATCTGAAGACACATTCTGAAGTAGATCAGAAGACACATTCTGAAGTAGATCAGAAGACACATTCTGAAGTAGATCTGAAGACACATTCTGAAGTAGATCTGAAGACACATTCTGAAGTAGATCTGAAGACACATTCTGAAGTAGATCTGAAGACACATTCTGAAGTAGATCTGAAGACACATTCTGAAGTAGATCAGAAGACACATTCTGAAGTAGATCTGAAGACACATTCTGAAGTAGATCTGAAGACACATTCTGAAGTAGATCAGAAGACACATTCTGAAGTAGATCTGAAGACACATTCTGAAGTAGATCAGAAGACACATTCTGAAGTAGATCTGAAGACACATTCTGAAGTAGATCAGAAGACACATTCTGAAGTAGATCAGAAGACACATTCTGAAGTAGATTAAGACACATTCTGAGTAGATCGAAGACACATTCTGAAGTAGATCTGAAGACACATTCTGAAGTAGATCTGAAGACACATTCTGAAGTAGATCTAAAGACACATTCTGAAGTAGATCTGAAGACACATTCTGAAGTAGATCAGAAGACACATTCTGAAGTAGATCAGAAGACACATTCTGAAGTAGATCAGAAGACACATTCTGAAGTAGATCAGAAGACACATTCTGAAGTAGATCAGAAGACACATTCTGAAGTAGATCAGAAGACACATTCTGAAGTAGATCAGAAGACACATTCTGAAGTAGATCAGAAGACACATTCTGAAGTAGATCAGAAGACACATTCTGAAGTAGATCAGAAGACACATTCTGAAGTAGATCAGAAGACACATTCTGAAGTAGATCAGAAGACACATTCTGAAGTAGATCAGAAGAACATTCTGAAGTAGATCTGAAGACACATTCTGAAGTAGATCTGAAGACACATTCTGAAGTAGATCTGAAGACACATTCTGAAGTAGATCTGAAGACACATTCTGAAGTAGATCAGAAGACACATTCTGAAGTAGATCTGAAGACACATTCTGAAGTAGATCTGAAGACACATTCTGAAGTAGATCTGAAGTCACATTCTGAAGTAGATCTGAAGACACATTCTGAAGTAGATCAGAAGACATATTCTGAAGTAGATCTGAAGACACATTCTGAAGTAGATCAGAAGAGATATGAAATAGATGTTTACCTGGAGTTTACCTGTAGAGAGTTCCGGGGGTCAACGCCCCCGCGGCCCGGTCTGTGACCAGGCCTCCTGGTGGATCAGAGCCTGATCAACCAGGCTGTTACTGCTGGCTGCACGCAAACCAACGTACGAGCCACAGCCCGGCTGGTCAGGTACCGACTTTAGGTTCTTGTCCAGTGCCAGCTTGAAGACTGCCAGGGGTCTATTGGTAATCCCCCTTATGTATGCTGGGAGGCAGTTGAACAGTCTCGGGCCCCTGACACTTACTGTATGGTCTCTTAACGTGCTAGTGACACCCCTGCTTTTCATTGGGGGGATGGTGCATCGTCTGCCAAGTCTTTTGCTTTCGTAGTAAGTGATTTTCGTGTGCAAGTTCGGTACTAGTCCCTCTAGGATTTTCCAGGTGTATATAATCATGTATCTCTCCCGCCTGCGTTCCAGGGAATACAGGTTTAGAAACTTCAAGCGCTCCCAGTAATTGAGGTGTTTTATCTCCGTTATGCGCGCCGTGAAAGTTCTCTGTACATTTTCAAGGTCAGCAATTTCACCTGCCTTGAAAGGTGCTGTTAGTGTGCAGCAATATTACAGCCTAGATAGAACAAGTGACCTGAAGAGAGTCATCATGGCTTTGGCATCCCTAGTTTTGAAGGTTCTCATTATCCATCCTGTGAAGAGACATTCTGAAGTAGACCTGAAGGGATTTTGAAGTAGTTCTGAATAAACATTCTGTGTCTAGCAATGGTTCACTAAGTTCCAGAGTAAGTGATGGTAGGTGAGAACACTGTTCCTAGCAATGGTTCACTAAGTTCCAGAGTAAGTGATGGTAGGTGAGAACACTGAGCCTAGCAATGGTTCACTAAGTTCCAGAGAAAGTGATGGTAGGTGAGAACACTGTTCCTAGCAATGGTTCACTAAGTTCCAGAGTAAGTGATAGTAGGTGAGAACACTGTTCCTAGCAATGGTTCACTAAGTTCCAGAGTAAGTGATAGTAGGTGAGAACACTGAGCCTAGCAATGGTTCACTAAGTTCCAGAGTAAGTGATAGTAGGTGAGAACAATGAGCCTAGCAATGGTTCACTAAGTTCCAGAGTAAGTGATGGTAGGTGAGAACACTGAGTCTAGCAATGGTTCACTAAGTTCCAGAGTAAGTGATGGTAGGTGAGAACACTGTTCCTAGCAATGGTTCACTAAGTTCCAGAGTAAGTGATGGTAGGTGAGAACACTGTTCCTAGCAATGGTTCACTAAGTTCCAGAGTAAGTGATAGTAGGTGAGAACACTGTTCCTAGCAATGGTTCACTAAGTTCCAGAGTAAGTGATAGTAGGTGAGAACACTGAGCCTAGCAATGGTTCACTAAGTTCCAGAGTAAGTGATAGTAGGTGAGAACACTGAGCCTAGCAATGGTTCACTAAGTTCCAGAGTAAGTGATGGTAGGTGAGAACACTGAGCCTAGCAATGGTTCACTAAGTTCCAGAGTAAGTGATAGTAGGTGAGAACACTGTTCCTAGCAATGGTTCACTAAGTTCCAGAGTAAGTGATAGTAGGTGAGAACACTGAGCCTAGCAATGGTTCACTAAGTTCCAGAGTAAGTGATAGTAGGTGAGAACACTGAGCCTAGCAATGGTTCACTAAGTTCCAGAGTAAGTGATGGTAGGTGAGAACACTGAGCCTAGCAATGGTTCACTAAGTTCCAGAGTAAGTGATAGTAGGTGAGAACACTGTTCCTAGCAATGGTTCACTAAGTTCCAGAGTAAGTGATGGTAGGTGAGAACACTGTCCTAGCAATGGTTCACTA